TATTTCAATTGTAGAATCTTTTCAAACAACAAAAGTTACTAGGAAATTATTACTATTACTTCTATTTAACCCATCAACGCCGAGAATTATTTTTTTTCAAACTTTCTATTTTTTTTACTAAAAACAGATTAATATACAACACAAAAATAAAAAAAATTATTTTTAAATTTTTTGAAAATACGATTTCTGAGATATTGAGTGTCACCATATGGGTACACTCGGCTTTTACCTATTAAATTATTCAGGTATAAAATAAATACCCACCTTTAAACAAAACTTATTTATTTTCTTTTGACTTATGTAATAAAATTGATTTATAACAATTCTTTATGAAATATACATTTTTGAACACTTTTTTTTATGATTTACTTCGTATGATACGAAACAAAACATGTTACACAATAGTCCGACATTACACTTTTTGCATTGCGTGCGTCCTTTGGATGTACACAATGCCCCAGCACACCTTCTTCTCATTCCTTTTCCAACCACTTCAACTAAATGATCTCTACCATCATATTGTGCGTCATCAGGAATTTCNTGATCTCTACCATCATATCGTGCGTCATCAGGAATTTCAGTTGAAGGTCCTGGCCGTTTCGGTAAATTTTTGTACGTCACCAAATAATTTTGTACAATGTTTCGTCTAAAATCTAGTTGGGTCAGCACGCCACCTGATTTTTTGTGAAGGATCCATGCGTTTTGTATGGATACATCAATAAGCCATGTGAATAAACACCACCATCACTTTTTACCACGCAATCCAATTCTATATCGGTTCACATTTTCGTCCATCAAATCAGTTCCTCCCATATACTTATTGTATTGGCCAATACAATTAGGACGTGGAACTCGAATAGTTTTTTTTTCTTTCCTGGAATATCGCTTAACCCCAACTGTAGGAATACTTCCAAAACATGTCGAAGCTACAGTTATTAAAGAATTATCTAACCATCTAGAATAGTGAATACCATTGTTTTTATCTAAAATATATTCAAAAGTGCCTCTTTCTTTTTTTTTCCATTTTGATTTTTCAGTTAACTTAATTGTTTTTGGTAAGCGATTAGCGCGTATAGTTCCTGTGCCATTGTAACAATTCACTGATAAAAAACGAAGTAGTTTTTGATTTGTAAACAAGTTATCGAAAGAGAACATATATCGCAAATTTTTCTTTTTTATGGGAAATTCTTTTAACATTTCGTAAAATGAAGCTGTACATTTTCCAAAGTATGCTTGTATTTCGGGCGTCGTATTTGGATTATTACCTTGATAAAAATCAAAATTAACTAAATAACCTGATGATGTATTTATGCACCATGCCTTAAATCCAAATCTTATAGGCTTTCCTCTGATAAATTGTTTACATGAATGACGACCAAAATATTTTACCATGGATTCGTCATAATTAAAAGCTTGTTCAGGAACAAAATGTTTTAAAAAACGATTTTTTAATATATTTTTCAAAGGATTTAATTTGTAATATTTATCATTATTTATTTTAGAATTATCTGCACAGTGCAAAACACGACATATTTCCTCGAACCTATCACGACGCATACTTTCTCGAACCATAGTATTTTCCATATCTGGAGAAGTATCCCAATAAAAACGACGCCCGGTTTTTCAACAGTCGGGAATGTAAATTCATGATTATCTAGAGGAACACTTGCCGTAGTTTCTTCACTTACCGAATCACCTCCAACTCGATTTCCATCAATAAATTCTATTTCTGCGCATGCTTGTAATTGTCTTCCAGATAGATTATCGACTAGTCCGCCATCTTCATCACCAGAATCCTCATCTGTCAACTCATTTGGATCTGGTGGTTCAATAAATAAATTCAAAACATCTAAATCTTCATTATCAACCAGTATGTGTAATGCTTCCTCAACAGTGAGATCACCTCTAAAACAAGGGGAAAAAATGACATTGTGTTTATCTCGTAGTATAAAATATTAATACTGAAAATGTATATGACGAGTGGGCCATTATGGTGACACGCCAATAATTTAACAATATTTCGCGATAGAATGCAGAATATTGTTTTCTAAAGTAATCAAAATATTCTTTACAATGCTGTAAATGAGATTACACCACTAAAAAAGTTGTAATAAATGTAATTGTATACTTACATAAATAAAGTATTTGAAAAATCGTAATGATCACTCATGTTTACTTTTGCTGATTTTCAACACGTCACCACAAACAACAATACGGAACGTAACTGACACAAATTATGTCAAAACAAAGTAAAAACAATGTATTATCGGTGTGCGTGATAGCCGATAAGTAGTTCCATTTGGGTATTCTAAGAACGCGCGATAAAAATAGCAATACGAATGTCACCATATGGGGACGCCAGGCGTTGATGGGTTAAGTTATCTATTACCATAAAAATGAAAAAAAATATTGAGCTTTTCTGATAAATTTTCATTAAATAATAATTATAAAACTTTCTGACTGCATATTAATCTTAACGGTACAATTTTTTTAATTGTCAAAAAATTTTCTATTTTATGATGTCAGTGTCAAACTTGCCAATTAAGCTAAAAGTTATGGTAAAATAAATTATTTTTTTTTATTATAAATATTCAACTTTAAATGATTAAAAAAATTGGTTAAATATGTAGATTTCCTTATTTTTAACTTATTAATAATCAAAATCAGTATTAATTTAAAACAATTTTTTTTGTTCTTAATTATGTTTTTATATGTAAATACTATTTTAGCTTCGATGCGAAGCTGAGAAGGTATTGGTTTTACTAAGATGTGTTGATTTTTATTTATTTTTTTTTGTGTCTGTTACCACTTTTTCTCAGCTCTCACCGAACGGATTTTTATCAATNTTTTTGTGTCTGTTACCACTTTTTCTCAGCTCTCACCGAACCGATTTCTTTCAATGATACGTCAAAAGATCACAAATCGTATCTAGTCGAAGACATTACCCTCAAAAATTGAAAAAAATTCCCTCGTTCCCCGTAAATGGGGGAAACCTCCGAAAAAATTACAAATTTAAAAATGGCTAATATTCGAAATTTTTTCACTTTTTTTTACTAAAAACTGCCGTAACTTTTTTAAAAATTAACATATCAATATAATTCTTTTTTTTATAGATGCATGATGTCATTACCTATCATTTGGTATATTTTTTTTATAAATCTGACTTTTTACCTGCCCACAGGGGGGCATTTAAAATGACAACTTTTTTACAAAAAATTAATTTTTTCAACTTAACTTTTGAAAGTGTTCCGGAAAGTCTGACACTTTTATATATATCTTAAATTAAAGCTAATGTAATATACTTTATTGTGAAAAAAAATTTCGGACTTTATGTTATCTTCAGGGTGAAAATGGCTACCGAATGCTATTTTTGTGTGAAAATTTTCGATTTTGTATTTTACATTTTTAACTTTATTATGCTATAACTTTTTGAAAAATGTATGGCCATTACAATTTTTTTATGAGAAGTAGTCTTTATATAGATCTATCATTCGACATACTTTTTTTTTAAATCGGACCATTTCCCTTAATACAGGGGGGATTCAAAACATAAAAATTCATATAGAAAGTAGAACTTTTTCAACTTAACTTTTGAAAGTGTTCCGGCAAGTCTGACACTTTTATATATATCTTAAATTAAATCTAATAAAATATAATTTATAATGGTAAAAAAAAATTTCGGACTTTATTTTATCTTCATGGTGAAAACAGACATTAAACTTAATAAAAAAAACCCAGCACATGGGTGTCGCGGCACAGTGGTGACGTGGCATAGTTGGATCAAGTATAATGATATCTGCCATTTTCCTTATTTTTAACATATTAATAATCAAAATCAGTATTAATTTAAAACAATTTTCATTTGTTTTTAATTATTTTTTTTTATATGTTAATACTATTTTTTAATAATATTAATACTTAGCAGTGATATAAAAAGTCTAATTGCACATTTGAAAACATCGCGAAAAGTTGATTTAGAATAGTATATTTTTGTTTCTGATGTAAGTTCCTTGTAGTCCAGTGTATAAAACTTATAACTTTGTTAACTGTTATAACTTTATCAAAAATGACCAAATCAGTATAAATTTTTTTATTCCGATGCATATTTTTACCTATCATTTGGTTTTTTTTATAGATCTAACCCTTTACCTGTCCACAAGAGGGATTCAAAATGATAACTTTTTTTTTTTTGTCAAAGTAAGTAAATCATTAAAATTAATTCAGTTCTGAATATTTCAATTGTAGAATCTTTTTAATACCAAAAATTACTTAGAAATGATTACTATTACTTCTATTTATGTTATCTATTACCATAAAAATGCAAAAAAATATTGAGCTTTTCTGATAAATATACTGTAAATAGTAATTATAAAATTTCCTGACTGCATATTAGTCTTAAAAATAGCATAGTTTTAATTCTCATAAAATTTTCTATTTAAAGATTTCAATTTCAAACAAGCCCAGTAACCCCGAAAGGGCGTAAAAACATTTGTTTCCAGATGTCATGCGTTTTTTTATTTCTTCGTGGTTGTCGTTTGTGCTACTTAAATTAGTGCCTAAATATTTAAAATTATCTACCTCTTCAAACATATATCCTCCGACTTGTAATCCAGTTGCATTTCGCATCTGACCTTTGTTCCTACCTATTCGCATGTATTTTGTTTTAGTCTCGTTAATGTTTAGTCCCCGTTTTTTAGCACTTCGTATCAGTAATTCCGTTGCTTTTTGAATATCCTGCTCACTTTCGCCTAATATTACCACGTCGTCGGCATATGCTAGTACTGGAAGGTTTCGGCCGCAGTTAATTCCTTGATATTCTTCTTGTACTTCCCTTACTGCCATCTCTAGTACTATGTTAAATAGTATTGGTGATAGTGCATCACCTTGTTTTAATCCTGTTGTTGTTTGGAATTCTTCTGATTTCTCGTGACCAAATTTGACTACGCATCTTGAACCTTCCGTACTCACTCTGATCATCGATATTAGTTTTGATGCGACTCCTAACAGCTTTAAGCATTTCCATATTTCTACTCTTTGTACGGAGTCATATGCTTGTTTAAAATCTATAAAGATTAAATGTAAAGGTCTGTTGAACTCATAGTATTTTTCTATTACTTGTTTAAGCGTGAAAATATGGTCTATTGTTGATCTGCCTGACATGAATCCACTCTGATAATCTCCTATGATGTTATTGGCGTATGGTCTTAATCGGTTTAGTAGAGTGTTCGATAGAATCTTGTATATGGTATTAAGTAAGGATATTCCCCTATAATTCTTTACATCCATGGGGTCCCCTTTTTTATATATGGGGCATATTAACGATAGGTTCTATTCCGGTGGAATCCTTTCAGTTTTCCAAACTTCTTTTAATAGGTCCCATATTTCCTGCGTTAGTTTTTGTCCACCGTTCTTCAGGAGTTCAGCCATGATCGAGTCTTCTCCTGGGGCCTTATTATTCTTAAGCATTTTAATGGCCACTTCTATTTCTTCTTTACTTGGTATTTTATCTTCAGGTTCTGCAGTTTGGTATGTTGTACTCTCTTCGGTTGTATCCACTGGTTTTCCCAATAACTGTTTAAACGTCTCTCTGAATTCTTCCGCAATCTTTTTTTCTTCTGTGATCAGTACGTTATTGCTATCTTTCATTATCATGGTTCTTGGTTTACGTTTTTTCGTTAGTTCATTTGTTATTCCAAAAAAGGTGCGGGAATTCAAGTATTCCTCTTCAATGGTTTTTATTTTTTGTTCTTCCCAGATTCTTTTTTCCCTTCTTATTACCTGTTTGCATGCTCTCTGTTTTTGTGCTAGTATTTGCCTTTTTTCTTCTGTATTAGACCTCAATACTTCTAGTCTTGCTTTTTCTCTGTCTTCTATCGCCTTCTTAAAGTTATCATTGAACCATTTATTCTGTCTTCTCTTGGGCTCTACTCCAATTATTTCTTCCGCTGTTGTTTTAAAAATGGTTCTTAGATTTTCCCATTTCTTTTGAATGTCTTGTGACTGTTCTACGGTGTTTAGCTTAGCCATCATTATTTGTTTGTATTTACTTACTATACTCTCCTTCTTCATACTTTTTTTTTTTTATTTTTTTTTTTTTATGTCTGTTGCTATTTTTTCTCAGCTCTCACTGGACCGATTTCTTTCAACAATACGTCAAAAGATCACAAATCATATCTAGTTGAAGACATTACCCTTAAAAATTGAAAAAAATTCCCTCGTTCCCCGCAAATGGGGGAAATATCCAAAAAAATTACAAATTTAAAAATCGCTAATTTTCGAAATTTTTTCA